TAAAGTTATTACACTTTTTTGCTCTTGTACAATCATACATTTCTCTTGGTGAATTTAATTACTGCATTTAATGGACTGGTACCAAACAAACTGTACACATGCTGATCATATCGATAACGTACATCTTTTTATACATGTGTTGATCATGGATTCTTTGACCAACATCTCCAAAGACTGAATCTACTGGAGGACAGATGACTGTGTGAAGCAAAATATATCTTACTAGCTTCATTTAAGGCTCACCTGTCAACAATGAGAGTATGTATATTTAGTTGACTTTTCTACAAGTAAAATGTCTGGGTTAGTATATATGACTTGTCCTTTTCCTTACAGAACTATTGGTTCCACTAAAAATAACAAACTATAATCTTATAATCTCTTCACTGTCCTCTTATAGGTTGTTCCTTCAGCCCAGTTCCTCTTGTCCTGGTCCTAGAGATACCAGTAAGCAACACCATGTATTACCATGAATTACAAAGCAATTATTATTAGGCCACTGATATTGCCATGCATTGTCACATTTTGGCATTGTTTCTGATTGCTTTCTGCTGCTGAAAGCTTCGTAAATCTAAAGGAAGAACAGCGTAACCTCCTTCTCCTTCCAGCACCTCAGCAGAAGTTTTGGAAACAGCTTTTGGCCTTGTGATCATTGACCATCAGTAGGCTTTTCCCTTTGGGAAAATAGAGATTACAAAAGCTTTTCTCTCGGTCACAGAGGGTTTAGTTAGTAGCCACATGAAGGAAGCAACATTCTGAAGTGTCTGTGTACAAGAATGAAGTGAGAGAGGAGTGAGACAGTGGAAATGTATGAAATGTATGAAATATGATAATATCCCTCATATCTCCATCTCTTACCTTCCTCTCATCCGACTTCCTAAAATGGAATCTGTCTACTCCTAACGAATCCCTGCTTGTCTTTCCCCTCCTTCATGTGGCCCAAAAGATCTGAAGTGCCGAGGGAAATACTTGATCAGTTCTGATGGCAGGTAACAGCAAGCTAATCAAAGACTGAAAATGCAAAATATAGGATACATTACCAGAGGGGAATAAATACTGCAAAAATGATTTCATTTTGTAACAGGAGTTAACTTCATGTGAGAACTATTCATACAAAAGCTATTTGGTTTAGTTGCTGAAGAATAATCTAAAAAATTGGAAAAGCACAGTGAATCGTTTCTGTTTTAACACAAATCACTTTCACATTTATTCTGAACCTGGTTTTGCTGTTTCCATAATTTGTGCTTTATCCAGTTAAATATTCACAAGTCATGATACTGAACATTTACTTTTCCCTTGACAGTTGTTTTCTAAGCACAGTTCTTTGTTTAATATGTTCTGACCTCATGTATATTTGACAGTCTCTGAGGAGTGTTATTCCTCTAGATGTAATAAATGAGTTCTATTTGTTGTATTTTTATATTTTCTCAATAATTTCTGCCATGAGCAACTCCGGTTGCAAGTGAAATATTAAAATTTCATTCTCGAGATTTCACTGTAAGTCTTTGGCTTGAATAAAAAAATTGTATCTGTGATTTTATGTGCTGAGTATCTTCAGATCCATAAATCCAGCACACTCAAATGAGGGAGCAGGCAAGAACAGTTGCAACAGTTTGAGTGCAAAATTATTGTATAAATAATACTCAGAACTATCACAATTATCTGAAAGTCATCGGGGAGCTCAAATAAGATCTAATAGTCAAAGCAATTAAAGTATGGTTGCTGTCTATTGCCTCACAAAATACACAGACACAGTAACATCATCTTTTCTAACCTGTTACCACTGAGCTAATGCACCAGAATTCTACCCGGTCCTCTGGAAGAGCTGTTATTTTAAAAAGCTGTAAATATAGGATCACAACTCTTTCCGGTCATTACAGAATCAACAACAGTGGTTTCAGTAAAAACAGGACCTTTTGCAAAAAATAAACTGTCTTTGCAAAAACTGCCTTTGGGAAATTTTATCCTACCTTTTTAAACTTACATTTAATTAGATGTCTCCCAACCCCTGTGTTGTGATTACTGGAAAGACCTAACAACACATATACAATTAATTCTGCAGCATTAACTACTTAAGGTGATTTTGACATTAACTGGCACAAAAAATAAGCTGTTAAATTAATAGCCTTTTTTCAACTTGTTGAGCTGTAATCTTACATCACCAGAGGAAACAGGAACCGAATCAGACCAAAAGACATCAGAAATCTGTCATGTTCCCACAAAGCTGAAGTTCATTTTGAGTTCTCTGCAAAACTGAAAATGTGGCTGCTTCTCTACAAAGCCTGACCATGACTTACTGCTATATAAGGCCCAATCATTCTGCACTGGAATCACATACCCCTGCAATTTAAAGGCGTTTCACTGTCTGCTTTTAAATTTATCTTTGTAAATTTCCCTTGTTTTTAAGGAAAACCAGAGGCTCTTCATAAATTTTAAAGGTCCTCCTTCTTTGTATACTTTAAATTAAGACTTTGTCAGTAAAAAGCTAGCAAGAGAATTCAGCCTTCTACAGCTCCATACATTTTAGTAATCTCTGAACATTACTGTGAAAGGATCATTAATCCTTCCAGTCCTCCTCGCATAGCATTTTCTTTCAGTCCAGTCTCAAAAAGGAGACAGAACCCTGCAAATTTTCAGTCAGTCATTGTTTAACTATGCCATGCTAGGAAGAAAATGAATAATGAAAATGTTTTATACTGATATGAAAAAAAAATTCCTAAAGTTATGAGAACAAGTGTGCAGCCATTTGGTACCTATTAAAAACCTTAACGGCCTGAGGAATCATTTTGTTAATCAGATCTGACTCCCTGAAGAACAAGGACTGTTATAGCAGTTTAGTGGACACACATTTTAAGTCAAAGCCATCTAGGGCTTGTCCATACCCTAAAACGGAACATGGGGTTGGGATGTTTGTGCTAAGAAGAGGCACCAGCTGAATCTACAAAGCATCTTGTCTAAACTTGCCAAAACAACATTGTCACAGAGTGGTCAAGTCAAATCAGTAACGTCTCATTCTCAAAGTCAAGCTGCAACAAAACCATCTACAAGAAAAAAGCTGGAGAATTGGGCCAACCCATGATTTTTTCTTGTTAAATAATGCAGAACCAATAGAGGCACGTGCATTGTCATCTGCTGAAACTCCTGGAGGACTACTGCAGGGAGAGGGCTTTGGACCATATTTTTTCTCCTGGTAGGCATCTAGCTACAGGCTGCATAGCCTTGACACTCTGGTTGGGTGGCCAGAAGAGACAGAAATGGCCTCCAATAACTTGACATGTCAAGCAGCTTCCTGAGAGCCCCCCCCCCTTTTCTGCACTACCCAAACCAGCAAATTCTACGAAGATAACGGGACACGACCGTTTAGTTTACCAGAACACATAATAGAGTAAAGATCCCCCTCAGCTCGGAGCGAGAAGGCACAAGCATGCATGTCAGACCTCTCCTGCTCTGCGTGTGTCTCTCCCCGTTGTGTTTGCATCTGCTGGACTCGTTGCAGAAAGCAGCAACTGCCTGACCGAGCAACACACGGTGCAGACGGGAGAGCCCACGCCAGTGAGCACCACGTCACCTTGCTCGGTCACGCGTTCGGAAGCGTGCTGGGGAAGGCACGGTCCCTGGAGAGACACTGCCATGCCACGGCCTCAGACTCACCCCAGCGCTCGGGGGAGCCGAGATCCGCCCTTTGGTGCGCACCAAGAGACCAGATATGACGACCTTTCCAAAACGATAGTTTACGTGCTTCAAATAGCAGGCGTAAAAACAACCACCTTTTGTAAACACGTCAAGCAGATAAATGGGAGTTCATTTCTTAGTATTTTTCAGAACGAGAAGCCAGAGCTACATTTAAACAGACAACAACATTTCCCCAAACTGGCACTAAGTAGTTTTTTTCTTACTACTGCAGTGCTCCAGAAAGCACATTAATAATGCAAATGCCCTGCATCTCACATTTATTACTAGTTATGGGATAAGGCAGTGTGTCAGCACATTGTATTGGCTTTCGGGGGAAACCAGACACGTGAGAATCATCTGCTGTTAATGGGAAACGTTTTTCATTTACAAATTCACATTCAGTGTTCTTGTTGTTCTTGTTAACTTCAGTTTACACTTTTTCCCAGTACACCATAACCAAGCTGCATAAACATCCACTCAGTTCACAAACGAAAACTACTAATGAGTCGTTCTTGTCTAAAAAACCTATAGCTTTACACTTAGGAAATGCTTATCCTGTGTCCATCCCCATTGTGAAAATCCAGTCTATAAAGCTTTACAGTATTTTAAAGACTATGTCAATAATCTGTGGCTGACATGAACTTAATCTATTGCATGCAACTTTGTTATTTGTACATTTCTTTCACGAAGACAATATGCCACAATAATATATTCCTTTTAATCATCCATCCATTTACATAACATTCCCAATTTAATCCGTAATGCTGCCTTTCCTACAGCGAGCTGCTTTCTGAAGCCAGATTACCTGCAAATGTTTGCTGGCCGGGCTTAACTGCTCATTCCTTTTTAAATTAAACGATAAAAAGAGGGAAGGCCTCTTCCCACAGAGCGGTTTCTCATGCTAGAAAAATACATCAGTAATCTCCCCGGCTAGCAAAGTTAATTTTTTAAGAGCATGAGCAAAAATATTAAATCGCTGTGCAACGGAAGCTTTTATGTTAAGCGTAAGATTACATTTAAGGTTAATGCTCTGAGGGTGTGTGTGTGTGTGTGGGGGGGGGGGGGGGGTAAGATGTTTTAACAGCTTCCCCTCACACACCGCTGTGCCAGTGCCCCGTTTATCCGAGACTTCGCCCCCTACGCCGAGTTAGCGGATGCAGGGGCGGCTGCCAAGGTGTTTCTTTTCACATCCCCGCTGCCAGTGGGGCAGCGCTGGCAACGGTGGGGCAGCTTTCCGTGGAGTTTTCCCGCCCACGACCCGGCGCCGCGCCGGCCCCTCAGGCGAGGCGGACTACGCTTCCCAGGATGCCGCGGGGCCCGCCTCCTCACGCGAGAGGCGGCGGCGGAAGTGGCGAGGCGTGGCCCGGAAGCGCCGCCGCCCCGCCGCCGGGAGCCGAGCGACCATGGCCGAGACGGACCCCAAGACAGTGCAGGATCTCACTGCCGTGGTGAGCAGCGGCTGCGCTCGGGGGGCTTACGCCTCGGCCCGCTGCCCTGTCAGAAATCGCGGGCAGAGGCTTCCCCGCAGGGGCCCGGCGGCGGGCGGGCCGCGGTTCCAGCTGTGTCGCCGCGGAAGGAGTTGGCGGCGGCGGGAGGGGTGCGGGGAAGAGCGGGGCTGTGGGGAGGAGGAAGGCTGTGGGGAGGAAGGCTGCCACTCACACCGAAAAAGGTGTCGTCGTGTGAGTAACGTGGGGACGCTGGAAGTGGCTGTTGTGGGTTCAGTCCTGGTTGCAGAATGCCGGCGTTTGATAGAGCTTAAAAGTGTTTACTGCGAGCCTTGGCTCTCCTGTGTGTACATATATATATATATATGATACTTAAAACACGGAATTCTACTGCAGAGTTTGTGTGCAGGTGAGCTCACCAATAAATGAAAACGTGTTTACCTCACTACCTGAAATTAAATACCATAACGACCTCTCTAATGCAAACAAAACAGACTTCTCTTTTTTCCTTTCTATTAGGTGCAGACATTGCTTCAGCAAATGCAGGACAAATTTCAAACCATGTCTGACCAAATAATTGGAAGAAATATCCTTTAAAATTAAAGTCAGATGGGTGCTATATCCTACAGTATAAGTATTTTAAAGTATATTTATCAGTGGGATTTGTAAGACAAAGGGACCAGAAGAGTTTGGGCAAAGCTGTAATAAAAATCAAATAAGCAAAAAAACCTGACCACCTCTAGATTGCAATCATAGACCTTAACTCCACTGAACTTGATGACATGAGCTGTCGCATAGATGACCTGGAGAAGAACATAGCAGACCTCATGACACAGGCAGGAGTGGAAGAATTGGAAGGCGAGAACAAGACCCCTGCTACTAACAAGAGTTAAAGTGAGACAGTTGCTTGCTTGCCTTGAAACAAACCCTTGGGTCACTTGAAATTGCTGACTTTAAAGTAGATGGAAGTTTTCATTTGGTTTGTGAGGTAGTCTGAAAATCATGCGAAGAGTAATTATATATATATATATGTAGAATTGTATATTATGTTATAATACAATAAGTCTTAAGAGGCTCTCCTCAGCAAACTCCTACCAGCCTCTTCACCGAGGACATTTTCCTGATCACTGTTGGGAGAGAGGTATTTTGTTCATGTCTAGTTAGTGTTGAGGAAGTGCAATAGCTGTGTTCCTCCTCTGGTTCTCTGAGAACTGAAATGACTGGTTTTGCAGCATGGGAAGGAAGAGAGTTGGGGAAAAAATACCAGTAACAAACAGAGCTGTTGTTCTTGGTTTTGTTTTGGTTTGGGTTTTTTTGGGGGGGTTTGTTTTTATCATCCTATTCGAGTGTTCTGTAAAGGACTATTAATCTCATGTACATTGCCAACATCAGCTCCAGTTTCCATAGCTGGCAAGCTAGTGGTGCTCCTCTTCCATCTTCCTCTGCATCCTGTAGATTTCTGCTCCCACGAAGCTCCTAAAAGCTGTTGACTTGCTGCAGTGCACAGGGGCCAATGAGTGAATTGCTGTCAATCAGCTGTAATTCCTCCAGTGTAAGTTAGGAGCTTGCTGGGAGTACCTGACTCACAGGTACCACTGCAAAGCAGCAGGTCCTGACTTGGACAGTGTAAGACAACACTAGGATGCGAGGCAAGGCGTATCCTAGGGCAACGCTTCCTGGAAAAAGAAATTTCTTATTGAAAGATAAATGTGATGATACCATATATTCTTCTTACATACTTTATTAGTTGATAGCGTGTCCCTATATGACACAAAAACATTGGAGAAGTAGATGTTTCATCTACTTGCCAAGCAGCCTTTCAAAATCCAGTACAAAAGCATGTAAATAAATTCGAGTGATCAGGTAGCAGCACACACGGCATTTACAACAACTGCTGAAGGCGTTTCAGAAGATGGGGCACTGCGAGAGTGCCAAAACTGTTACAGCAGAAACAAGGTGTGTGGGTGGTGCTTTGTTATAATACATGAGTACTAAGATTTCATTTCAGTTTGGATAGAGCTTGCTTTTTGTAATGCATGGAAGGCAACTGGTTAATGAATTACTAGATGTATCATGTTAGGTTAACCCGTTTTTTTTTTTTTAAGGTGGCTAAGACAGACGTGTCTCAGCCTCCCTTAGACTTGGCATTCTGAGGTCTTGTCTAGAATATTATGCAGCCTGTACAATAGGCGTGTGTGTTTGAAACATGTATATGTCTTCTTAAGGCACCTATTTTTTGTGATACTTTGACAGAAATACATATTATTACAGGCTTCATTGCCTGCAGTGCCAGTTTCCATAGCCTGAACCCTACAAATGAAAATTTCTGATAAGCATGATTCTCTTAATTCTTCTCAGTAATTTTTTTTTTTAATTATTTTTCCCCAACAGGTTGCCAATAACTTAAGATGAACTCTGGAAGATTTCTTTTTTTTTTTTTTTTTTTCTACAAATCCTTGGAATTACAGAACAGCTTTTTGCAACTACTGTGTGTAAAAGCATTTTTATATTGTTACAGAGCTTGCATTCCTAATGTATATTGTATAGTTAGGGATAGGTTAGTTTATATTTTGATTTGTGTACTGTAATTTCACTTTTTGAATTCTTGTTATGAGGATCAATTAGTTGTGTTATTAAAACACAGATCTTATGGATATCAACTACTGGGTATATTTTTTTGTGAAGTCACTTTTTTCTCGATCTTACACTTTTTCTAGACGTTTCATTTTTGATAGCTAAACATCTAGTGACTTGTATCAAATGGAAATCTTAACTTGTCCTACGTAACTTTGTGGAGTGAAGCACAAGATTGAAACTTAGCATTAATTTTAGCTCTAAGTGCCAGTCACTTAATTAGTTGAGGACTATGTGTTGTGTTCTCATAAATGTAAGAAGGTGATTTTTGGAAAGACACTGAACATAAAAATTGTATTTCCTACTCCTGGTATTACCTTACCTGTATGATCTTAGAACATAAACCAGAAATATAGATTTAACAGTAGAGATATCTGTATGCAGTTGAGCAACCACTGCCATTCAAATCTGTTATATTTAGACAAGGAACTATTAACTATGAAAAATCTCACTGTGGGATTTAAGTTTTTTAATACTGTAAAACTACTTTGACTGTGTCATTTAGCATCACCTTTAAACAATAATTAAAATAGTGATACTGGATGGAATAGGGATGGGATTGCAGGAGTGTCTGTATGTGGTCTTGCAGTTCATCACTGGCTCATACAAAACAGTTTGCTAACAAAACAATGATACGCCGAGTAAAAAAAGGAGAGAATCCAGTTACAATTGCAAAGCCCTGTTTCTCTTTGAATAACAATTAGCTGGAACTGTTTCAAATATTTGGTTTAGAAAGGTGTTTGCTTTTATAATGATATCCACCTTTATGGGCCTGGAGTTTAATGGATTACATTAGAGTATTTTGGCACTGAAAAGTGTATTTAGCAGAGTCTGTACCATGTCACTTGTGAAGAAAAATGACCAATGTCGGATGTTGCAGAAAATCATTGCAATGCTCCTCCAGCTGGAGATATGAATTTAAGAAAGCACTAGTGGCAGTCAGCCGTTATTTGTGGACCGCACTTAAGACTGCTCTTTGAACGCCACTGCATTAGCGTCTGTGTATTATAAAGGCAATGTGACAGGTCATTTTTCAAAACCGAGGGGAAATTGTAATGAAAGCTCCTAATAATAGGGGAATTTCGTGGACATAGGAAGTGTCTCAATATACCTTGTAATACCAGCCTTAGGTTCTTTGTAACGTTATTTAAAAACCTAATAAACTATTATGTGGCAAGAAATAGTTAGGTCATATATATTAAAGCAAAATCTAGCATAAGTATATCCTTATATGTGAAATTGTATTTAGTTATAAGTTATAGAACCGCTTTAGCACAGCCGCTGCTTATAGAATATAGTCTAGAATATAGGTGTGTTCTGTACATTAAAAGGGTGAGCGTGATTTGTGCCCTGTCAAATCTGGATTTTACTGGGTGATTACAACATAGACCGAATTCATAGGAAGGTATATTAAAGTGGAGGATCATTTTGTATGAAGTTTATACAATTATAAATTCTCACCTGGCCTCCTGTGGGAGAAATGGTCATTCTTGATTTTTCTTGCACTGTCCTATATGCAGCAGTAGTAGGCCTGCTTTCCTGAAGCTTATTGTGTCAGAATAATTTGTTGGAAAATTATTTCAGCTTTAAGAAGTAGTTGGATTCTTCAAGTCATTGGAAAGTTTCTAATCTCTTTTCAGTAGGGATAGTTTTCTCTCACAAATTTAACACTTAACTGATTTTGAAAAGTAGCAAATTCAAAACAAGCCTTTTAGACAGGAAGGTATGACTTTTAGCTGTTTAAAGACTGCATATTTTTGAGAAACGTGTTTTATTCTTACTCTGAACCAATGATAGAGCTTCTGTGTATAAGCAGCATATGCAAGCCAAAGTACAATCCCTTTTGGCCACATTTTCCTGAAGTGCAGTTAGTTTAATAGACAAATCAAACCAGAAGATGACTGTTCTTAAGTGTTCTTTATATGGATTTGATAACACTTTACAAAAATAATAGTGGTTTGGTTTTTTTTTTCCCCCTGAATATGCTGGTTCACATCTTACCTGACAAATATTTGTCCCTTCCACTGGGCTGCCTCACTTGCAAAGAAAAGGATCAAGCTCATGAATAGGGACCGTCTGTTATTAGAATATGAAGAAAGCTGTTCCATATATTCATTTAAATCAAACTATGTGCTGTGTTCTGTTCAGGACTGTTGTTTGAGACAGCAGCTTGTACTTTTTAGTTACATATCTCTGTGCTAAAGTCTAGATAAGGACTTTCTACTTTAAGAGAAATTTTCTGCTACCTGTCATCATGGTAACACACTCTTGGATTTTATCATTGAGATATTTACCTCCTACAGTTTATTTTCACAAACGGTTACAGATTAAAGGCGCCCTACTCTGATTTCCTTGTATAAGCAGGTGTGGTGGATGCTGCATTTTCCAGTTTGCACCAGTTCAAAGCTGGTGTAAATTTGAGCAGACCTGCTGTAATGCATAGGCACAGCAGACGCATGATAGGGCAGCAGAATTGTCTGTTCTGCTTGTGTGAGTGAGCATGCGTGTCTGCTCAGGTCTGCCTCCTGCCTACCTGCAAGAGGGAAAAGGGTTTCTGGCACAATAGGTGCCATCTAGGAGGGTGTGAGATAGGTGGAAGATGAGCTCTCTTGAACTTGCTGCTTCCTGTATTCTTTCCCATCCTAGCCCAAGCAGCAAGGAAGGGGATAGCAAAGCTACTTTTCGTAAGTGGTTATGAGTTATGGAATTGCACAGAACAACTAGAGAGTCTGCGGGTCCTGCATGTATGGGGAAAAGGGAGAAGAACTAAGGTTGGAGAAGACAACCCCCTCTGCTAAATTCCTCAAGCTCTCTGTTGTCTCTGCTCTCACCACCACTCTCTTCAACCCCTGCTTCTCTTTGACTCGTCAGAGCTCAATTTCAGCTGTTACTGAGGAGAAAGCCATTGTTTCCAAACTGCCTCCAGGTAACTACTAAGTACAGATGTCCTTTCATAAAAGATCTTCATGAGGAACAGCAAATAGAATTAGTTTTTTCCTAGGACAGGAATTATGAGTGATACCATGCAAGTCTTCAGCCACAGTTTTCGTAGCCAATCATTAATAGCAGTATTGTTTTCTGAATGTTAGACTTAAGACCTGAGATCCCAGAAATAAGCTGGCTGAAGATCTCAGAAGCTGTGTGGCCTATGTATTTTACACTGGGCAACAGAAATAAATTTGAAACGCCTGTCTTGTCTCTTCTGGTGTCTTAATTCCTATATTTAGCAGGAATGATTCTTGGTACGGAGGAATAGTGTTATAATAAGTCCATGTTTTGAAACACGTAGACCCATTGATAAGTAAGTGGTCTAGAATTATGTTATCCTTAAGAGGATTTTTCATTTAATCTCTGCCCTAAAGACAATGTCTGGTAAATAAGACTGCACACATATAGCTCTTCAACTGATACCATCTGGTCCATGCACTAAATGAAGCTGGTTATAGGCCAGAGAGAGACTAAACACTGACACTCGCTGTCTGCAAGATGTAATTTTGAAGCCTCCCTTTCCCTGAACCCAACCCAGGTCTCCCAGGTGCCTGGCAAGTCCCAGTGCCCGCACTGCTGCCTGCCTTGGGACGGAGCTTGTCAGAGATTACGTGGACTTCATCTTGCAATTCTCACAATCTATTGTTGGCAGGGGAGACGGGGAATATTTGTGCAAATTCCTGTTATGTGGCCTCTCGATTCATCTCAACACTCCCAATAAAGTACCGTTGGTTCCTTTCCTTAGATGAATGAGGCACGGGGAACTGGTTTGCCTGAGATTACTATGGAAATCAGTAAGAGAGCTAAGCTGCCTGTCTTCCAAACCCTCGGGGAGTGCTGAAGTCACTCAGTGGTTCTTCCTCCAAACTTGAAAGCACATGAAATTTGTTCCTTTGTGTTGTAAATATATTTGACACTGTGCCTTCAAAAAGAAAATATTTTTGATTTGGTATGGTTTTGCTGTGAAACACCTGTAACCAAGTCCAGAATTGCTGTCCATCATCTCTAAAATTACACCTGAGACTGCAGTTTTTCTGGAGGTATTCACATGGAATTATTTAATGAAGCTCTTCATTTTTGCTCAAGATTATAACTTTCTAGCAGATGGTGCCTTCTAGTGGGCACACTCTTACTAATAGAAGGAACACTACTCAGATTAATTATTTGGTTACTTTTAATGTACAAGTTCAGATGTTAGGACTTTAATGAGCCACATGCTGTTTTGAAATGTGGTTATTACACAAGACACTGAGGCTTTGTTTACAATTAAGAAAATTAATAGAATACACAGATCCCTTCCTGAGCTTTAAGTCTCACTGTGTTTTGAAAACACCTGATGCTCACTATGATACTTTTTTTCTGACTCCAACGTAGAGTTACTGAAATTAGGTCATTAGGAAAATAAAGCATGGGAATAGACACTTTACTTCTTATAAGCACTCTGAGATAAAGGTTAAACAGGAGTTGTCTCTCTGAAAAATGCACATTATTAATAGAAAGTGTTCTTTTATGTCATTTTGCTACAGACCTGGCATTTTTATTTATGAAGGTCTTTTAGTTAGATACACACGTAAAAATTCCTTCAGTTTACAAAGCTGTAGAATATACAATCCTTGCTCAAAAGATTAAATCCTGTTCAAAATAGAAACTGGAGAAGTGGTGGAGTTAAGTGGTTCTCAAGTCTCAGATTCACAGGTGTTCTCTGGATGGAAGACCCGTGTCCCTTTTGAGCGAGGCCCCATACAGGTATGGGGAAAACAGAGCAATATAATCCATCCTCTTAAGGGGAAAATAGAGAAAACAGAGGGCTACCTGAGAAGTGGAGGCAAAAAAGTGGAGGCAAAAAAGATGAGAAAAATTACTTAAGGCTTCATAGATGAGCCAGGCCTTAAATTTAAATCTTTCTTAAGTGACTGGAAAAAAACACTTGAGACAGACTAGGTGACACTTGCCTGTCTCCCAAAACAGGCAGGCAGGCTGGTGTACTTGCAAAATAAGGATCTACTCTTTCACATCTGAATTCCCTTAAGAGTTTAGATCAGAAAAAAACACATGCTGCATAGCCTGTCTTCAGCCAAAGGTATCTCAGATTTTGATGCAGCATAGCATTCAGTTTCATGTAGGTGTCAAGTGGATAAATGTTTGTCCCAATGCCATCTCATGGGCACACAGGAATATAATCAGCTCAGGCAGGTGGATTACTGACAAAGACTTGCCTGATATTCTGCCAGCTGACATTTCCAGTTCCTTGGGCTCAAAGTAATTCACCTGCAGGGCACCTTAGTTTTTACTTATAACATTCCTCCTCGGTCCAATATCTTTTTCTCTAAGGATATGAATTTCCCAATGGATAAAATTTTCCGATTCCCACACAGCTCTAATAAATATTTCACTTATTTCTGTTGCAGATGTGTTTGGTTTTGAAGACCAGATCGCTGTCTCTTTAAAGCACCTCAGGGAAGCTTTTTGCATTTTAACCTGCACAGCCACACTGGAAGAAATCACTGTGTTCAGCTGTTCTCTATCCACTGGCGTAGAAATATCAGTTCCTTAGGAGCAACAGAGGAAGGTTTCCAGGAAGTTTTTGTTTGTTTGTATATTTTCACATGCAATTTGACAAGTCAGGAGGCTAAGGATATCCACAACAGATATTGTGTAGTTTGGGAAAATTAAAGCAACTGATAACACAGAGAAAAAAGAGACATGAGGCTGGCTGCTAGTTTCTAGGCATTTAAGACCCCATGTGTGGAGACTGTGTGTGATTAAGTGTCCAGCATGGTCTGAGCTCTGACATATGACACATCCCAGGGGCAATAACGAAGAAGCATTCATTAGCTTCCCAAGAGGCTGCTCATCAGAAAAACAATTCATTTAGTTTGCCAACTGCTATAAAACAGAAGTTTTGTATCCTACAACAGGTGCCCAATTCAGTTAGACTGTAGGAGGCTGAACCTCAGCCAAATCCTCACTTCAAAACATGCTCACTCTAAAAGGTATTCTTCAGAGCTTGAAGGCAATAAGAAAAAAAATCAGAGCACTGCAATAATTAAATACCTAAGGCCCAAAAGTGCAAATGTCATTGACCATTGCAAACATGGATTCTGCAAGGCTTTTGTTCACTCCTGAAGTACCAGAAAGAAAACCCTTCAGGGCTCATCACTAGATCTTATAGGAAAAAGTATGTAAATTTCCTCCTGGCTGTACAGAGCAGTAAATTTTTAATGCAAATGACTGGTCAGCAAAGATAAAACAGCCTGAGCGCTCCCTTGCCTAACTTCGTGCTGAGAAATATAAGTACAGGACTCAGTTATAATTAAAAAAAAAAAAACAAAACAAAAACCACAAAACTAGTTCCAACAACTGAAAGAGTGATTATTAATGAATGTTAATGTGATATAAGTGGGGGAAAAAACAAACCCGACCCCCTCCTATTGACACACAAGACATATTATAAATCAGACCAAATCTTCTTAAAAAATTAATGTGACTGTAAATGTTAGAATTAATGACAAATGCAATCAACGTTTATTAGAAGGGACATCATTGGGATCTCCAACAAGTCAGGCAAAAAATTTAATCAGGTTCTTATCAGAGGGTTACAAATAGTTGTGTCATTTTAATAAATTTGACAAGTGTACCATGCAACTGAGAACTGGGTGCATCTTGAAAGACAATTAACTGTAGATCCTTGAACAGGATTCAATGCTCTGGAAATTCTTTTCAAGTCCTTTTTCCAAATTATTAGTGTTACCCTGTCATATGAGAAGGTATGGGATTGTGCTCTTCTTCCTGAGTAGCCTCAATTCTCACCTTTTTAACTGAAGATTTTGATAAAAAATATATTCAGAACCAGTGCAGAATTCATAAACAAGAGCTCTTCAATTCTTTGAGTGTTGCAGGTGGCAGTGGAGGAGATGATCGGGGTTATATGTAAAATCAGATGATAATCTGATTTTAAATGTTCTTAATTTTATTTTTATACAAAGTCTTCACATTATGATTGTTTTTCTCTCAGGTCAGAGCTTTTAAATAAAAATCAAGACACCAATTTAAGACTTTACTACTGAGCAACTCTGGAAGTGAATATGACCATGAAGATTTAATTGCTTCACAGAGATTCCAGGCATGATCAAGGCCTTCCCTGCTACATCCCCACTGAAGACACTCTTTGGGATTCAAGGTGATTGACAAGTTAGATTATTAGTGCCACTCATTAGCAAGAAATGTAGAAAATTGAAGCCCTTGAAGGAAAGGTCTGTCACTTGCACAATAAAGCTCTTATTTAAATTCCATTTTGAGCATTTCTAAAACAACAGGCAACAGTAAACAATAGTTAGCAGGATAACACCATCTGCCTTTTTTTTTTTTTTTTTTGTATCATCTTTCCAGTGTTTAAAGCAAGGATTTGGTTGTAAATACTGACAATTGGCACTATAAATTACGATTTTCTGCTCTCTGAATAGTGAGGAGCAAATCCAAATAAAGTGCAGATTTAAATCTCAGTTTTCACACATTACTGAGCTTGTGAGAAGGGTTTCTAGATTAACGCGCTCCTGCCTCATGTTCATGGGAGGGGATATGGACACTGCTGGAGCACATTTACTGAGTTTTGTAATTGGACCTGCATTTGGTTGGGCCACCTGGAACTGGAGATAGAGTTCTGCTTCATGGGGATAAGTGTGAGATGAATGGCTGAAGGAGTGGAGCAAGACAAACCAGTCACCTTTGCGTCTCTATTTGAAGGCCCTTCATGTCCCAGTGCTGTTCATTCTAAGGCAGAAGTGTCCTGTTCTTCCAAACACTGCGAAATTTATAGGAACTCTGTGTTCTTCCAATGATACAAGACAACAAACAAAATGGAAATTTCTACCGTGTTTACATATTTGTAGCCTCATTGATCCAGCGTGGTTTAAGGAAATCCTGCTCCGCCCCCCAAAGCACACTGAACAAAATCACTATTTCACACATCACACAAAATTAAAAACAAATTTATTGAACCTGAGGCGTATTTAAAAATCAGGAGGCTTTTCATGCCACAAGTTATTTTAAAACATCTTTGAAACTACTCCGTAGACTGAAGTTAAACAATTAAAATGCATAATCACATTTAAAAAGCAGCACCAAAAATGTAAGTAATTTTGTCACAGGCACTGCTCCAGCATGGTTTGATTATTTAATGTTATGCTCTAAAACCAATTTATACCCTATACCCTTGATCTCTATTTCAATTTCAGGATGTTAATGCATGCACCATTGCTGTATTAGCTGATAGGGCAGAACAAATACTTCAGGAAAAGTCATGATTAGAATTAGAAATCTCCCTCAGCCATGTTTAATACCCAAATGTACTCACCTCAGTGGCTTTTCCTGCAGATTTTCCCCACTGGAACCCCATGTTTTATACCTGGAAAGAATGATTATTTAACATCGGTAACAGGTGAACGTAGAGCTCTACAGGGAATATATAGGTTCAGTCACTCCTACCATTAATGCTAAAATTATCAGGCATCAACTAAATCTCTTCAAACTCAACTGTTCCACAGCCCAACAGCCTGTCTCTCCAGGTAGGGAGAACAAGCAGTCGCCACATACCATGCTACAGAAATCTTAGGATCCAGATAGCCGAGCCTGAAGGTCCCAGAGGCTTTTTGCTCATTTTCCTCTTTGCATTACGTGCACCTCCAGTTTCTGGAAACTTTCCTCTATTCTTTGTGCTGACTTTGTTTCACTGTGTTCAGCCCTGAAATGAGAAGATATTGGGGGGTTTGGATCACTGAAGTACACCACATGTTTTGAAGCCTCTAGCACAGCCCCGAATTCCATTCATTCACTACTAGAGGAAAAAACACACTATATAAACAAGGAGACAGAATCACTGTTGCAGGACAAATGATGTTGTATTCCGAGCACAAGCATAGAAATGAGTGAAATTTGAGAAGAAGCTTATTTATGGGAATTTAGCCAGCAGGCAACGTTAACACACGGGCTACCATTCCTTGTATTATTAATGCTTTATTAATCACATGCATACAGCCGGTAAAGTGATTCATTACCTTTTCATGCTCAAGACACACTGTGTATAAGTATAGCCGGCTATTGGAATATGCATTCACTAGCATCTCAAACTACTTGTCTAGCAGAAGGATGGAACATGTACTTGCACACTTTGCAGAAGGCACAGGGGGGTAACTGTTCACATCCTCCCCCAATTCCTCCAAGAAAGGAGGGATGATTGCAAGGCACAGGGAGATGGGCGCAGAGTGGAGCACATGTATCTGTGTCTCAAAACCCATCTGGCATAGATGCGAGTCTCTGCCCCTTCAAATGAATGTGCAGAAATGATTCAGTGCCAGTTACCCACAGGGCAGTTGCCATTTCAGGTAGCAGAGGGACTTGCACTGGAGCTGGGATTTACAAGGCTGGTGCCTGCCTTGGAGAAGGCAGAAGTGTGGTGCAATGCTTCACAGTGGCACAACAAAGAATGTAGCAACCTTTTCTATGTCTGCAACAGGGCTGTCTCAAAACCCCTGCTAAATAAGTTTGATTCCTATAAAGAGAAGCAGATAATTTGTAAAAGACAGCTTTGCCTAGGACTAAGTGAACAATTATTTTCCCTGCATAGTCCAAATTCACTTTTAAAGATCTGCCTGGTGTTTGTGTAATGAAACTTCATTCTGAGGACAGAAAGCTTTCATTTCTGGTATCAGTTAGTCTTTTTCTTACTGTTTTACATCTTGTCTCAAAAAAGGATGGAAATATCTCCCTATAGCAACCTCTTAAAAACCACAGAAACAAATGGCTCATTCTTTATAGCAACACCCATATATTTTCCAAGGAAGTTTTACTAAGCAAAGGGACTGAGACACTTTGCAAAAGTTCTGCCGTTTCTCTTGTATGAGATGGGGGGGAGTGGCAAAAGTAGAGAGTTGTCCTTCAAATGACCTTGCCTAAACAAAATGAACAGCTTGAGTGCCTATCATTAGCAGGCAGAACACCTCTGCAGGAGGCACACGGCTTGAAACCCAGAGAATTCTGCATGATTACAGCTAAGTAACTCCACAAAAATCAAGCAGAAAGTTTTCCTGAGGGAATTTATCTATGAAAAAATGTTTACACTAAGGTTAGCAAGTATTAACTGAGTCTGAGTAGAAAAAATGTTATTTGGAGATAAACAGGGAGTTTCAGCTCTCAGAGCGAGAAAGGGTCACGAGCGCATGCCCTCACTGAAAGGACACAGATGATATATGCTTCACCTCAGGGTACTGCGAACACTATCTCCTACTCCAAGGTGACGGGTGAAAACACACTCACAGCATAGCATAAATATACAATTATTGGAAATTTTCTTTAAAGATGGGAAAAGCTGTGTGCCACACAATGCAAGTCTACTTGAAAACTGTCTGTTTCTGTTAAATGGGAAATTGGAACTGCTAACCACAATTGCACCATATCAAGGTTTTTCTGGCTCTGTTTTCTATGATTCTGTCTTTAGAATAATAGAAAAACTGAGGAAGTACCTTGAGAAGTCAGCTATCTCTCAGTCTGCTCCAAAGCCTAACTATGCTATGAAGTCTGACAGATGTAGTTTAACTGTTCTTATAGATGCTCAGTGATAGAAATTTCAGTGAGGTGTTCTGATTCTGGAGCACTCCTACTTGACCATCCTCTTGGATCAGCCTCAAGGATGATGCTCAGCCTGTAAATCTTTGGGCTTTGGATTATGCATGCCAAGGTAGAAGACTAGAAAAAGTGAGAAGAGGTCAGGCAGGTCAACTTTTTTATGTTAAACAAGGCTCTTTTACCAAGGAGGAGATCCTACAGTTTAAGCTTTATCACAAACTAAATACACACCGTATAATTCATTGGAATTATTGCACAAATGTCACTAGAATTTTTATTTAACTAAGGAATTTGGATCCATGACTAAAAATCTTCTAATCTTCACCCAAATATCTATTGCTATTTAAACATCAGCCCATCTTACTTGTTATAATGACTGTTTGTTAAATCTAGTCTTATGGTAATGTTAACTGATCAGATTCCCACTGTTCTCTAGTGCACAGAACTGAATGGTCAACTGGGTAGCAAAAGATGTAGCTAACAGAGGAAATATTTCTATAGGGACAGTATCAGAAATACGTTTTTTTTCTGAGCGGACACCTTTGGACTGGTGCTACATTTCTATTACAGGAGCTTATTACAGCTGAAGTTTTGCTTCAGTGTGAAAACAGTGTGGGTTTTTGAGAGTTCAGGTAAACTGGCTTGCATAGAAAATACATACATCTTCAACTTACCCATTGCTCGGATTTTACCACTTTTCAGGTATTGTTGTTGGAACTGATTAGATTCTGAAGAGATCACATCAGTGAGCAAACACAAAGGCCAGACCTAACCTAGCCCCTGAATTTTGGTAAGGTTCAGAGCCAAGCTCCCTCATCTCCACAGCCTTTAGCAAGACAGATCAACAACCTACAATTCTGTAGTTGTTACACTGGAGTCAGAGCCTCATGATGACAACAAGAACAATCCCTTGATTTTTCCTGTTCCAAAGAGCAGGAACAGATTTATTGCCTGAAGGGAAGGAGGGAAACAGTGCTAAAGCATTTACAACTGTCAAACCTAGAGCTCCTGGGATAGCAAACCTCCCAGGTTACATGAAAACAGCAAATCTCATCCATTTTCCCCTTTAGATGACAGGTGTGTATAGCCCTTAAAGACACCCAGGACAGTAATATTTAATTCATTAGCTACAGAAAACCTCAATGTTTGTTTGAGTTAAGAATCAATCGCCATTTACTGTATGATTCTGGCCCACCAAGTAGATCCCATACTCCCTTTCTCAGAACAGTCATGTTCTGAGTATGTTTGTCATTATAACTGGGAAGCTTTTGAGTAAGTGACACATACAATAATTGTTCATAAACAGCTAAGAGTTCAAGAGCTGTACAGCTGCAAAAGAGCCTAGAAGCTGATGGAAATATATGTGATTTGGATAAAGATCAGACATTTTCTATGAAACCTGTCAAATAGTCTTCAAAATGACACAAAACCATACAGAAAAGTGGTCAGAATAATGTGATTTCAAAAATTGCTTCTGTGACTATTCTGTACTACTGACGCTAAATTATTGTCCATTATTTATTGTTAGTGTATTCAGCTCTAGACAGAACTTATAGGAGGACTCAGACCAAACTGAAGGAGTGGAAAGTGCTACCTTAAATGAATAGTCAGCAGAGAGCACTAGGATAAATCAATAAATGTAGAAGATCGTTTCACATTTTTGAGGAAGGTA